TTCAGTTGTTATCAGTTCTTTTAAAGATCACTATGTTAAAAAAAAAATACTCCCATTTGTATTATTCTGTCATTGAGCTGAATACTTGGAACTGATGCTTTAGCAGGCAAATCAGGATTTCTTCATTCTAGAATGCATTTAGAGTCTTCAAAAGTCTCTTACGTGTCTTTTACTTTAAATATGGACATATGTGGGGATTTGCTCACTGCCACTCCAGTGAGCTTTTCATATCTGGTAGGGATCTTCTAACAGTCATGGGCTCAACTTGATGATAGAGACACTCCCTTCTGGATATTAGTAAAAGTCAGTCATAGCTTCAAACTTCCATTGGTTACTTAAACATGAGTAAGGTATTCAAACTTCCCTCAGTCTCATTCTGGGATTGAAATTAAGATTTGCAATATAAAGCAAGAGCTTTGTTTTTTCAGGGTTGAAAAGAAACAACCATGGTTCCAAGTGAGTGTGGCTATTCTAATTGAATGCTGGCTTAAAAAATAATAGTGATATATGAAACTTGCCAGTAGATACAGCATCCAAAATAGAACAGGTCCATTTCCTAAGCCCCGTGCTGGTAGATATCAAGAGCATTTAGACACATCATGTATATTGTCCGACAAGCAGTAGGATCTTTTTAAATGGCTGTTATTGATGGCAGCCATCTTAATTTGCATACTTTAAGTCTAATATTTTTTTCCTTCTAAAAGATATAAAAGCAGTATAAATCCTTTGTAAGTGTAGGAATTTATTTTCTTAATATATATTAGTCCTATTATAAACTAAATAGACACATCTCAACTTTTGACTTTCAGTTTTATTACTGTTACTTAGATATGCCGACCTTTACCTGTTCCTTTCAGGAGGAAACTCGCTTGTGTGGTGGTACTGGCTCTGCTGGGCTAGGGGTCAAGGGTCAGAAAGTATGGTTACAGAGGACGATATGGAGTACATTCTCCTGCCTGCAGAGGATTGGGCCCTAACCCTCAGTGCCGAGTAACTGTGGCTTTGTGCTGTCTGAAGTTTAATGATTATAAACTAATTCCTTCCATGAGTAAAAGCCTTTCTCCATTTCTTTCTCTTTTTCTTGGGAGTTAACACATTTCTAAGTTTCTGTGATGCTTAAGGGAGGCTTAAGCTACAGCACAGGAAAATGAGTGTTAAGGTACAGCTGCTTTCTCCCCACCCAGCTTCCCCCTTCACTTTGTTGGCTTTTGTGTGGCTGACGTAATAATATCGTGCACTTTGCTTATCATATGAGTATTTTAATTATGTTGAGTTACAATGTAATTCCATATTTCTAAATTTTAAAAGAAACTTTTGGAATATTGCCCTTTTATAAGGTGAATGCCCTGTATCAAGTTCTTGTAATTCCTTCAGAACCAAGAATTCATAGAACTCAAATTGGGGGGGGGGGAACCTGTGGAGCAAGACGGTCTCATTAACTGACTGCTTCTATAGTTGCTAACACCAACAGCTTGCTGCATGCCGACTACTGTGCAAGAGTTCACTCTACACTGGCCCTCAAATTGTCTTAATAATCCAGTGTAGAAAGCATAATGATCTCTCATATTTTCAGATAAAAAGTTAGTAGATCAGATACACATTTGTGGAGCCTTTTTAGTGCTGGAGACACAGAAGACATGGCTCTTGTTGTAAGGTAGTTGGGCTTCTCCCACTAGCACAATGACAAGTGAGTGTGGAGTAAGCTTGTTAGCTCATGTGCTTTCTCACAGAGGGCAAGGCCACCCTAGGCCTTATCACTTAAAGAAAGCTCTTAGAACTTTTGGCATTTGAGCTGGATATTGCAAGAAGTTAAGATCATATATTTCAGGGGGAAAAGCTGTATGTTTGAAGCAGAGGAATTTCTTTTCTTTTTTTCCCCTACCTTCAGTTTTACAAAATAGTACTTTGAACATTTAGCCTGAGTGGAAAGGTTAAATCAGGAGATTCATAATTGGTATCTTTGGGGCCCAGGGAAACAGTGATGTGGACAGTGATACAGAGAGAGGGGACTTGAATATAGCTTTTCCCTTAGTCACCAGGCAGGTCACAGTGGATACAGCCCAGCCTGTTAGCCTGATGGTCCAGTGATAGCAATGGCTGGCCTTCACCAAGTATTAACTGTGCACCAGATCCTGCCATGCATGCTTATATACATTATTTCATCTAACCCTCACAACCACCCAGTGAGGTGTTTTCTAGATAAAAGACACAGAGATTAGGTGACTCAGTCAAGAGGCCCCAGACCTCCGTACTGTTCACTGAGCATTCCTCACTAAGGATAGTCCCTGTTGGTGGTATTCTCATGATCTAAAACTTGCTACTTGTGAACATTATAACCCCATAGACATGCAAGGGACAACACCCCACACACACCATGTAGGTTGTCAAGAGGAAAGAAGAGAATATGGAGCAGTTTAGTTTCTACTAAAACTAGCAAGAAACTTGTCTTACCATTTTGATACCAGGTTTTAGTTGTACATGACTATATTTTATCCATAAGCATTAAGAACTGTCTGTAGGAGATAGACTGGGACATATAAACTATTTTAAAAGTAGATTGAAACCTATTCCAATTCTAAGATTAAATGTGAGAGTGGTGTAGAGTGACTGAGTGGAAGATAGAAGGGACTGCATGGGAAAAGCAGCAGACCAGTTAAGGCTTAGCAACAGTGTTGATCTTGACCAGTGTCCCTGATGGAGGAGAAGGGTCTGGCAGATGGTGGAAGCTGAAATACTAGTTGCAGGAAAGTTTTGAAGGTAAATAAAATGTGAATATAACTCTGAATGTGACCAATTGGTATGACAAGTGACTCCTTTTTTTTTTCAGTTTTTTTTTTTTTGTTATCATAGAAAGTATAATAGTGATTAAGGCTAAATAGACCAAAGATTGCTTGATTTTTCAATGTAGATGAATAAACAGTTACCATTCCAGGGGATATATCGTGCTCAGGGCATCAGTAGAAGAGCAGGTCTGCTTTTTCTAGATGTTTGTCAGACAATCCACCATAGCAGGTAAGTTCCCAGAGTAGCATAGTGGGCCTGTGGGCAACCAGCCTTTTCTCAAATGGTGAATACATTTCCTTTTGACAGCCCTGTTACAAAGCTTTACCTTGTGGCTTCCAGCCTCTGGCCCACTCCTCTGCATCTGGCCTGGTCTTTCTTTAGATACAGTACTGCTAAAGCTTTCTCTATGAGCCTCCATCTGTACCCCTTAGACCGCGTGTCAACAGCGTGCAGCTTTCCTAAGGGACTGCCCCTCCAGTTCTGAATCTAAGCCTTGTTGATGGAGATATTTTCATTTTTTATAACCCAGCTCTTATTAAGTGATGATTATTTTATAAGGCTGTTTTGAAACCTGGTCCTAAAGTATTCACAACATAATGGGGACTGACAAACATTTATAGAAGACTTGAAGAACCGTTTTTAAAAAGCGAATCCAACCCAGTGGGTTTAATATGGAATGAAGTGAGGGGGTTGCTTCATTTCTTTGTTATTATTGCATTGAGGGTAAATTTAAATAGAGTGAAATTACACAACTTAAATGTCCAGTTTGGTGATCCTGACAAATGTGAGCACCGTGTAATCCCCAGAGTCCTTGTCACCCCAAAAACTTCCTTATGCTCCTTCCAGGCACTTCCTGTAGGCAACTGCTATTCTGATTTCTGTCCCCACAAATTGGTATTGTTTGTACTCTCTGGTCTGGTAAGGAATCCAATTCTCATCAAAGGTCTCCAGCTAACAACAGAATAAGGAGGACAGCAGTTTTCAGAGACTTTGCACCAACATGCCCTGTATCCTTGGACAAAACACTTAATCTTCTCTGAGCCTCGAGTACAGCATATTATTAAATGTCCTTGTGGCCCCTTTATATCCAACCCTGCGCCGACACTTCTAGTCTCAAGCCCCACCGTCTGCTCAGTACCCTGAAACAAAAACAGGTGTGGTCACTCCTCCCTGCTTCCCCTCCTTATCCAGCCACATCGAGTTCCAGCTGTATCATGTCAGTTGTTCCTTGTAATGTTTTTGGATGTGTCTCTTCTTTGGCCACTGCCTCCTCTTCATTCTGGCCTTCTGAATTGTTAACAGCTGTCAAATTACTATCTTTACTCTCTTGCCCCTGGTCTCTCCATACAGTGTTGTCATTGCCCCCAAAACAATTCTTCTCTGTTTAGAACCTCCCAAGACCCTCCAACTTTCAAGATGCTTCTCCACCACCTGGAGTGTTCAAATTCTGAAGTATGATAATCCGAGGGCCTGCGTCACCTGCCTCCAGCCCACTTTCAGTGCCTTGTTTCCTACCGTGCTCTCTGGCCCTGCTCTGCCTTCCAGGTCCCCCTTCTTCGCAGTGGGGTTGCTCAAGGCTTAATGCAGCCCCCCCCCTTTGTATTTTGAGGACATCTTGAGGGAGATGAGGTTGCTATTCACATTTTCTCATTTCCAGCATCTGCAAGTTAAATTGCTAAGGAAGATGGAATCTCTGGTCAGGGTCTTACTTGGAGTTCAAGTTGATGTATTTTTAAAACTTAAAAAAATCACATAGAAGTTTTCATACATTTCTGACCACTTATTCAAGTCTGATTATGAACTTTTTTTTGCAGTAGCTTTCATGATAAAGGTGAGAAAGTTTGTATTTATGTGGAGAGGATATTAAGGGGTACTGAAATAGTGAATCCTATGGGTAAAGGGGCTAATCTGTACTCTTCAATTCCCATCTCAAATCCTACCTGATATGCTTGTTCATTTAATTCTAGAATGGCAGATTACCATTTCTGGGAATGAAGATAATTTCTAAAAGTCTTTGTGATAATTAGCAAACAGGAGAAAAAGGCTAAAAATAACTATTAAATATTGAATCAAGTATTATATTTATAGCCCCTGTTTGTTCACCATGGTTCACTCTGTCCTGGTTTTCCAGTGTTTCGTTTCTACATTGTGAGTCAGCATTATACACCAATTGATCACTGCTAAAACAAAGATATTTTTATCTTTTCCAAACCTAGGTAAGAACCTCGATGCTGTTCATGACATTACTGTGGCATATCCCCACAACATTCCTCAAACAGAGAAGCACCTCCTCCATGGCAACTTCCCCAAGGAAATCCACTTCCATGTCCATCGATATCCAGTAGACACCCTCCCCATGTCCAGGGAGGACCTGCAGCTCTGGTGCCACAAGCGGTGGGAGGAGAAGGAAGAGAGGCTGCGTTCCTTCTACCAGGGGGAGAAGAATTTCAATTTTACTGAACAGCTTGTAATTCCACCTTGCAAGTCTGAGCTCAGGGTTCTTGTGGTCAAGTTGCTGTCTATACTGTACTGGACCCTTTTCAGCCCTGCAATGTGCCTGCTCATATATTTGTACAGCCCTGTTCGGTGGTATTTTATAGTCACCATTGTAATCTTTGTGCTGCAAGAGAGAATATTTGGCGGACTAGAAATCATTGAACTTGCATGTTACCGTCTTTTTCACAAGCAGGCACATTTAAACTTAAAGAAAAATGAATAAGATGGTCAGGCTCACAATGTAAAAACCTAAAGGGATATTTTGGAAATGTCTAAGCCTTTGTAAACTGAGATGCATTTTGCATGATTGTCAGATATTTCTTACTATCATCATTATTTGTTAAAAGATATTTTGCACTTAATTTTGTGGGAAAATATTGCTACAATTTTTTTTAAATCTCTGAATGTAATCTTGATGCTGCGAATGTAGCAGGGATCAATTGCTGTGACATAACTTGGGCCATATTTTTATTAAACAGTCATCAGGCTATTGATAGACAAGGTATATACAAGTTCTCTGAAAGGCCCAATCTTCTAACCCAACAGACTCACCAGACCAGAAGCAGGTGTGGAACTCATGAGTAGTGTGGCCCGACAGGCACTGGTACTTGACTGCCCAGCTCACCCCCGGAAGTGAGCACTCTTCCTCCATGCAGCTATGCACGTGGTGCCCGGGCTCGCTCCCTGGGCCCCGTCTGCATTTTTTGTATGCCAATCAAACCCATCCCATCCTCCCTTAAGATCAGAAAACATACCTCCCTTATCCCCAAGATGATCAGCATAGGAATCTTCTCATTCCACATAGTATCTTGGGCTAACCAAGCGATCAAAAGACCACCTGTGCCCTTTCTTCACATGGAAAAATCACACCTGCACATGACTCAGGGAGCAACACAGATTCTCCACTTGGAAACCTTAGTTTGAATTTTAAAAGCTAGGAATTAGCTTCAGTTCTTGACTCATCCTCAATCTTGCATGCTTAGTGCTGGTTTCCTTACAACTTGGCAGGTGTAGCTTTTTCTGTTAAAAGGGGTAGGCATGCAGCCACATGCTGTCTTGGAGGCATGCTGAGAGGAACATCCTGTTATTGTAGACAGAAACTTTCTTGTGAAATATTTTTTAAAACCTACCAAAAAAGGAAGGTTATTGTTTTCTACATGTGCATGGGTATCTAGCTTCTGCCATTAAAACAACCACAAAAATACAGACATGGCAATAATGGTTTATCCTAAATTATTCAAGCCTGGTAGCTTTGATAAATTTTATACAAGGATAACACAAATGAATCCTTTTCAATGATAGCAGGGAAATGTCTCTCTTTTTAGTCCCAGATTTACTCTTTCAATAGTAATATTTAAACTCACTTTTGATCCACTGTTCGTCTAAATATTTCTGACACTTGGAGTCAGAGGAAAATCTAGCAAACCCAAAGCACTGTCTTCTTCTGAGGCAAAAGGAGCATGTCATCATAGGTTCCAGCCCATTGGAGCTCTGTCCTTTTTTTTTTTTTTTTTTTTTTTTTTTTTTTTTTTTTTTTTTTTTTTTTGCCTGGTAATAGGGATAATGGTCGAGCTGCAAAAATATGAGCCTATTAAAAGTCTTTAGCTGTTGGCCAGTCTGTGAGCTCTACTGCTCAGGGAGCCAGCTTCCAGAGCTACTTATTGCTTTATGTACTTTTGGGGCATGAATGCCTTCTCTTTAGTGACATCTCATTTTTGCTTGACAGTGACTTCTACCCAGCAGTTCAGTCATCCATTGCCATGAAAGGTAAGCACATCATGAGCTGAACTTACTGAACAGATTCTATGAGAAAGCACTGGTTGAGGCAGAACACTGTGGACATATCGTATTTATTGAGACAGTATTAACTAGTGCTCACCGAAACCACCAACCCACCCTTAACTGTTTCTTCAAAGCTGCTATTGAGCTAAGCTGGCCTGAAATCTCATCTGCTCCAGAGGCTGAGATAGGAGGATGACATAAGTTCAAGGCTAGCCTGGGCAACTTCGCAAGGCCATGTCTCAAAATATAAAAGGGCTGGGAGTGTGACACAGTGATAGAGCACCCTAGCTTCAGTCCCATGGAGGGGTCAGCTGTTGATCCTTTAGGGAGCTTACTAATTAGTTATTATGACATATTCCAGCCCAGCCATTTACCTTTGTGCGGTTTAAGGGGTTTTTTTTGTTTGTTTGTTTTTTAAACAAAAAACAACTTTTTTCCCTTTCCTTAATGAGAGAAGTCTCTAAGTTTCTCCAAGACTTCTTTGGGTCATATTTAAATACAGAAATAGTTTAATAATCAGGATTGCATTTGTCCTGGGTTAAAAATGATAAGCTGTGTTATCTACCCCAGGTGAAACATAGCCCAGCCACCTGCCTTTCCTGCACATTTATTGGTCAGGTTACAACTACCATGTAAATGTGTTTAAGATAAAATACAAAATTGATTTTACCTGCTCAAAATTCATAATTACAAAGCACTAAAATCTGTAAAATCCATACTGTACTTGCTTTAAGATTTAGAAATAACTCCAAAAAATGAGTCTTCTATTTTATGACAGGAAGGTCTTTTTTCATTGTAATAATTCATGTTGATCTACACATTTTTAACTGTGTTTAAAGCCTGAGTCTTTTTTAATTAAAAAAAATTAAAGAACTATAGTTAATGATTTGGAGCTTAGAACTATTTAAAGTTGATACTGAAACACCACGTGCATTAGCGCAGCTCCAGTCATTGTGACAGTCCCCGGGAGTTTTTTCTGCCGCACTTCCCACCATCACCGTGGGCTTGGATCAGCTGCAAGTCTTGCCCCTCCAATGAGTTCTACTCACTGTTCTCTCAGTCCTTTGAAGGTGACTTTGAAATGTGACTTTGAAAAGCTCAATTTGTCCAATTGCCAAATTTACCATTCTAAAAGGTTCTAAGGATAGCAAGTGTGATCAATTTACAATATGAACCACTGTGCTTAAAATATAAGGGGTATTGACTGGGTAACGAGTTCTTAACACCACGTATCTTTTATGAAACAAGCCAAAGTACTTGCTTCAAAATTTAGAGAATATAGTGAAAAACTTAAAAATTAAATGTTAAAAGAGCCCATCGTTTTAGACTTCAATAATCCTTCCTTATGCCATCAAAATGCATGTTAGAAAAAAATAACAACTTTCATGTAATGTCATTTTGAAATGAATTACTGCAATAGCACCATATCAAGAACAGGATATTGGTGGCCAAGACCACGTCTTGAGACAGGCATGTTCTGTTTCCCCTGGACTTCATGCTCTGGCCCCAGTAATGACACCCCTGTGCACTCTTACAGTAAGGACTAATGGAGGAGCCTGTTGGTGTTAAATTGTTTACATTTTTTTATATAAATAATGTGCTTTCAGTGCCTTAGTTTGGGTTTCTTTCTTTTTTTTTAATTCCAAGAATTCTGCAATGCATTTCTTAGGTAAAGCCTCTTCCAGTGGGAGGAAAGGGTCTGTAAGTACCAGTCACTGAGTGTAACGCCACTCAGTCACATGTGGGGAAGAGCACTCAGTGCTGAGGCGTGGTGGCCCTACAGTAGTTTTCGTGCTGTAGAAGATGAAAGTGGTTCTGCCACATGATGAGCTTTGGTTGAGGTCTGGCCCTAAAGTTGTCTTGTCCCTCCCTAAAATTTTTATTTCAGAAGAGAATCTTGATTTTAGTAATTCATTTTTTAAAAATATCCTTATGTGAAAAACACCAAGTTTTAAAAATAACTCACAGAATGGCCTTAGTTTTTAATGTCTACTGGTGTGTTTTGTGAGTCGTGTTATCTGTGATCCACATCCAGAATAAAGTGGTATACGTGAAATAGAGTTTACATGTGTGTTCTGCCTCCATTTCCTCAGGCATAACAGAAACGACAGGTTCCGGTGCCACTTTGTCTCCCTGTGCTGTTACAGCCTTTCCAAGGGTAGCGTTCAGGAAGAACTGGTAGCTCCGGATTCTTTGGATTCTTCATTTGGCAGGTATTAAGAAAAAGTGGCCTAAGCTAAAAAAGAGTATACTGGTTCTCCTCAGGACAATTTAGTCATTCCAACACATGAGTCTTCAAGGTCCGTGGGACTCCATGCTCCCCTTCCTCTCCTCACTGTTCAGCAGTACAATTATCTTACGCTAAAACTTAACAAGTGTATAAATATGTCCTGCCTACTGAAAGCTGTGATGCCCATTCTGTCGTGAGTTCTCCAGTGAGCTCTCCATTGTGAGTTTCATGGGGGGAAGCCCATGGTGGTGTTTGGGAAAGGGGCATGCAGGGCCGAAAGAGTGCAGACCTAGCCCCAAGAATGCTGGTCCCAAGGACTGAACCATGGGGCATCCAGGGCTCCTATGTTCTGTTTGAGCCAAGGGAAAGAATAGAACATGGTCTCTCTTTAGACCCCAACTAATCTCCAGAATTACCCATTTCATTGACAAATTATGTAAACTCATTTGCCTAGAAATGCGATGTGGAACCCATCCCTGAGTTACTTGCCACCCTCTAGTGCCAGAGTTGGAGCTCATTTCCCTGGACCACAAGATGGGAGCGGGATGAATTTTAAGAGAACAGTCAGGCATCATTGTAAATAGCATGAATCAATACCAAATGACCACAAATGTCCACAACTATTAAACTTCCTAAACTTGCCAGTGGAGCTAGAGTAGGTGGGCATGATTTACAGAAAGCCTTCCAGGCTCCTGCCTGAGGACTGCACCCACAAGACCTAACAACCTCCCCAAAGCCCCCACCTCCTGACACCATCACCCTGGGGTACGAATTCCAGGGAAACATGAGCAAATGTTCAGATCAGAACAATTACATATGATGGTGAGGTGGACAGGTTTGACAGGACTAGGATAGAAATTAGACTTCTCTGAATATATCTGACTTCATATTACACATGACTTTGGAACCAACTTTATATTTTACAGAATTATAAAATTAAAAGGGAAAATGTAATTCCTAAAAATCAAAAGGAAAATGAAAATTAATCTATATCAATATTGTGGCTTAATCATGCAGAAAGGAATTATTTCAGGTAACTATAATGTGTATCCCTAATAGTGAATAGCCTAAAGACAAAAGAACTACCAAAAAAAGTTAAATAATTTTTGTCATCATATTGTTGGCTGTTAGTTTATAGTTTATTTTCTGAAACTATTGCATTTACTATAAGATAAAGAGTATGGGTAATTATGATAATGTTGCTAGGAACTAAGATTTTCAGTGTAAAAGAAAAGATGTATAAATATAAAATTAAAGGAATTAAGTAAAAACTCAATATTCCTAAGTATTTCTCTTTAATTAAAAAAATATATATCCTAGTTTTTGCTCTCCCCATTGGAAATGCTCAGAAATAATAACCAATAGTAGCAACGAGCCCCCTTAGTGCCTGATACTGGAAATCCATTTCCACTTAAAGAAATGAGGCAGAGGCTCGAAGACTTTAGTCTTTACAGTAAGTCATTGTGAGTTTACTGCTGAAGCAACTGGTACAGGGCTTCATGGGTCAATATGGGTAGCCAGTCAGCCTGACCCAGGCAGTCTTTCTTAGTGGCCAGTGTGTCGGGAAAGATCATCCACTTTGCTGTCTGTCCACGGGACCCTTTGGGAGCCCAGGTACCTACCCAGGGTGGATTGCTGTCCCTCAGACTGCCTAAGCCTTCCAGCCACAGGACCAGCAGTTGAGCAGGCATCCACGTGCCCCCTTCCCTTCTACCAATGGGATCTCCCAGACTCTCCCTGGAAGCCCCTTGTTGTGACCTCACAGGCAGCCCAGTTCCCCGTTGGTTCCTGCAATAGGGGAAGGACAGGGATGGGGCATCAGGGAGATGGTTCCTGGCCCCAGGCTCATCCTCTACCTCCAGCTCTTCCTGAGGTCAGGGCTGGCAAATCTGGCACACTACGGCCACCTGCAGAGCTTTAATACCTGCTTGGGGGTGAGAGGGGCATGGATACCCTGATTAAATGGTCAGGCTTGAGCCTGGGGAACCAGAGCTTCCCCAGCTCCCCAGGGATTCTGATGGGCAGCCAACCTGCCTGATCTACTACCTCAGACCTCAGACTTAGACTCCCACCCTCAAGACCTCTGGTCACCCATGTATAAAATGAGCATTTGGCCTTAGATGTTCTGGAAGCCCTGAGTGATTCATGAGTTGATTTAACTCATTGTAAATATTTATTAACTCCTTACTAGATGTGAGCTCCTGGCTTGACCAGGGAAGAAGCAAAGATAGGCAAGCTTTACTCTTTGCTCTTTACACACATACACTCCTCTCTTCAAAATAAACAAAACTGTTCATGAAGCAATGAAGCACCACATCCAGCCAACCAGACAGAAGTAAAGAGGGTAAATCAAAGAAGACGCCCTATGCCAAAGCCTTACCTTGGCTGCAGTGCCATGTTTGGGTGCAGATGCGACTGGAGTCTCCCTGTCCTGCAGGTGGGAAGAGGGCATCAACCCTGTGACTACCTGTCCACTGCCCAGGACTAGGATGGTGTTGAAGACAGTAGCTGGGAGTACAATATCCAGAGACTGTTGTAAAGTGACAAAAGAACCGAGCCTGCTCCCTGTGATCATTTATATTCCTCCTTCCTGGCAGTGGACGCTTCCATGCCATGGGCTGGAGGAGAGAGAATCCATCTTCTCTGTAATGCCCCATTCTGTAAGGTCAGAACACCAACTAGGAAATGCCCTTTAGGGACCAGCAGCCTTCGGGGAATGGAGGAGAAGACTCAGGTTCCCTGGTTGGACCTGGTGGGTACAGGGAGAAGGCCAGGGAAGCAGATGGGCTGTCAAGGTGTAGGTGCAAGGGACAAATGTGAAGTTGGGCCTGAAGCCAGATGACAGAGGGCGCAGGGCTTTAAGGAAACTCCATAGTTCTGAGAAGGAGTGCGTATGCAAAGAGCTGCCTCCTGTGGAGCTTACTTCATTCTCTGGCTGCACATGACTGGAAGGTCACTTGCCTAGAGGAGCCAACCCCTGATTCTAGGTAGGGTATCACTGGGGAAGAGAGCCCCTGCCTTCTCAGGAAGTTGCTGGCTAGAAACCAAGGGCCAGTTCCAGGGGAGTGCAGCCCAGGCAGCCTCACAGGGCCTGCCTGGAGAAGGACCCCACACTTGCTTCAATGTGCATCTGCACCATCTTCAGCTTCTTGGTAGTTTTTGAACAAGGACTCTCATATTTTTCTTTCACATTGGGCCCCACAACCAAGGTAGTCAGTCCCTCCTGGTGGTAACAGGAGACCCAGGAAATTCTGACTTCAAACTGTGGTCCTAAGCCCTGGATCCATGCAGCCAGCCTTCTCCACCCCACCCCAGAATGGAGTCAAGCTCCCAGGTGATCCTCGCACAGGCAGGAATTCCGTCACTGAGGAATGGTTTTCCCAGTCTGTGGCCTGCAGAAGTCTCTGCGGAGCTGTGGGCACCTCCTTTCCAGACATGCCCTCCCTGTGCAGCCCGGCATCATGGGACCCACAGCCTGCCCTGAAGGCCTCTCTCTCTGCCCCCAGGTGACCCATCACCTGAAGGTAGGGACTGGATCTTCATCTCTGCACCAGACACAGCGGGGGCCCAAGAAACTCTTTTACCCTTCTCACTGTTTGAACTAAAAAACATTCGAGCTCTGGATTTCCGCCACTGGCTCCTTACATAGCTCATGTGTTGCCCCTTTCTGCCAGAGAAGCATGGGATGCCAAGGAAGGGCTTAGAAGTTGACCTGATACCCTGAGCTCCAGGGACAACCTGACAGTTGCAATTACATCACAGTCCTTCAGAGCCTCCTGTCATTACCAGTCATTTTAAATACCCTTTTATTTTTCAGAAACTTGTAAAATAGTCAGGTTTATTTTTGAAATACCCATTATCCTCACAATGTGTGAAGTGCACTGCTCTTTGCCCATGTGGATTCCGGGAAAGTCCTCCTGTGTTTATTTTTCTGAGAGTCATCAGAGATTAGGAGCCTGCTTTCCTGGCACTGAGAGGCGCGTGCATGAAGCAGCCCAGGCAGAAACTGGTCCAGGGAGGATCAGGGGCAGCCTGTGCAGTAGGATAGGGATGATGGAAACTTCCCGACTTTCCACTAGTGTGCAGAGGATGTGAAGGTGGTAAAGGTCGGCCTTTTTTTTTAATTGTTAATCTCATTTGGTCAGGATATTTTAGAAAAGTCTACTATATTCTAGAACAACATTTTGGTCCTGAGACCTTTCTGTACTCTTAAAACTTATTCAGGACCAAAAATAACTTTATGTGGGTTATATCTATCACTACTTACTGTGAAAAATGCTTGAAATGTATATGTATGTGGGTATACTACACATGTGTGTGCCCACACGCGCACACACACGCTTTACTAGGCCCCACCTGGCCAGATGGCAGGGCACATAAGCCACACAGTGTTGACTTGATGTGCCTCCTGAAATGGCCTTGGGGACCAACAAGAGTACCAGATATAGAAGCCACTGTCTGGATTGTGCGTTTTCTCTGCTGTGTGCTGTGGCAGCCTGGGCTATGGAAGAGAGGACTCGGGGGAGCTAGACCTGGCAGCCAGGAGACAAGGCTATCTTCCGAGCTCCCAAACCCAACAGTCCCCTCCCTCAATGAGCTTAGTGAACTCATCCATAAATTGATATCACAGAGCCACTCTCAACCAAGCTGCACAACAGAGATGTGCAATGTTAGAAGGACAGGTCCCTGCCCTAGAGCAATCACATCAGAATAAAAGTGTGGACCTGGGCTTCACTGTCTGAACAGAGTTCCTCATTGAAAGGACATAGGAGAAGGGCACATCGTTCTTGCCAAAAATCCTTAACCTTCATCCAATCACAAGCTAAAGGCACAGC